GATGCCACAGAGTACACATACACACGCACAGGCCACAAGCAGCTCAGTGTTTGTTTCCACTGAGAAAGTTTTGACCTGCTTAAAGAGCCATTGCTATGGAAACCTAATGAGAAGATAATTGAATGAAACCTCTTTGCTTTCCATCCCTTTCTCACACTGGTGCCAGCAAGGTCAGAACCTTGCAGGCCTCCTTTCTCTTCAGGTTCATGCAAATTTGATAAAAATACCAAAGGCCCATTTTCTTCCTTGTGCCAGCTCTAGTTAGATAAATTACCTTGTATTCAGTCAGGAGCAGTTACAAGTCTGTCAGTTTTTCATACTAATTATGTAAGTGGGCCATTTCTAATGCACAGAGATAACCAAATGGCTTTGCAGCAGAGCCAGCATGGGCTTTTGCATTGGTTTATTCACCGCTCTGAATATGAATAATATTCATATACTAAAAATCCCATCTAAACCATTTTCTGCAGTGTACTATAAATAATCATTGGTGGGGAACAAGAGGGGCACTATCAGTTTAGTGGAGATGATAACAGTAGTGGTTTCATCACCATATGGTGCTATGCACCTGTGGATTTTATGGTCCATAAATGAGATGCGGCCATTTGTTAAAGCACATCTGCATTTGAAATATAAATGCCCATCATTCTCAGTTCCCTTATCTGTTCTGTTTTGAGAATGATGAGATTTCAAAAATCAACAGGCACATTCATGAAAGCAGTGCATGGTGTCATTTGTTTCTTTTCCCAGTTCTGGAGTACCAGCATGTTCTTGGGGCACGTATGATTGTGTCTCTTGTAATATCAACCACTCTCTATGCAAGATTAGCCCCAGTGTTTTTCTCTCTGAGATCAGAATCAGTCTAGAGTTAACGGGAAAGCTGTAACCTAGTTAAAGCCAGTCTTAATAATCAGACAGGCTTAGCTGGCTTGTGACCCAGATGTGTGCATTGGGTCTTCCTTGCACACCAAGTTTTGGACACCACCTCCAGGTTTCAAAGGTGTTTCTTAGATGTAACAATGTTATCCCCTCTGCAGCACTTCTATGGAAAGATAGATTCAGAGACCATTTTAGATGTCAGGCTTTGACATTGCTCTTACAAAGCCCCCAGGCTGCAAAACAAGAACCAAAAGTGCCCTCCAGAGGCAATCCTTATGACCATGTCTGGTTTGTTCAAGATGTCTTTTCTGGTCTCTTATCTTTCAAGCAGCCTCCTGTAAAAGCAGTTAGTCAAGTTTTTTAAGTTGTTCTCCCTTTCTCTACCTACTGTTGGAAGTTTGTCCAAATAGTTAGGAAAAGTTAGCTTCTCTTTTCTAATTTTTTTCCAGCATGTGTCTGTTTGTTCCTGTGCCTGATTTATTAATAGGCAGTAAGTTAATCTTCTTGCAGCTTTCCAATTTGACAGGCAAAACTTTTCTGGCTTTGTTTTGTAAGCTCAGCTGTCCAGTTTCCTGGCTATTCTAATAGCTTTCTCCGTACCACATCTAGATTGAATTCATCTTTCTTTAGCATGAATAATGATGGTTATACAGCCATTCCCATATATATTTGTTCTTCATATTCTTCTTACTGGCACTGGAATTTTCCATTCTTATGCCTTTTAGAATAAATATGTGGGTTTTTTCTCAGTCATCCTTTTCCACCGGGTATCCCCAGGTACTCTGTCATTTGCAGACCTCCAGTGTTTGAAAGACTGACTTTTCTGTCCATCTTGTTTGTGTACTTGAACAGTTTAATGTTGAATGTAAACTCATTTGTATTAAGCCAGTCTTTCTAATCAACGAGTTCCTGGTCCATGTTCTCTGCTCCAGCTGTTGCTACTGGATTTTGTATCACTGATCACTGAGTGGCCTGATGTAGTTTACTAAATTCTGCTCAAATCCATCAGCTCTCTAAGGCAGTAATATTTGGGTACTCTCAAAAGTAGCTCCATTTTTAGATTATATGTTGTGTTTTCTGTTTTTGATTTTTTGGGGTTTTTTTCTCATTTGTTTATTTCATCACTTTGGCTCAATGAGGCACAAAGTACTGGCCTAGAGATGGTTTTGGATTTGTGAGATTAATGAATTAAAATTTTGGCCCCATTTCTTGCCTGCTTCCAGAGATTATGGGTTGATAAGAAAATACTTCTTCCCTCTGGCTGTAAATCTTGTTTTGTTCCTCATTGTGTGAACATACACCCATACATTTCTTCTGCTTTATGTGGTGACAGAGCACATTTCATGTGAAAGCTTGCTAATGAAGTTGTACATCAGAACACAACAAAAATGAAGGCCTCCATGGTGGAGTAATGGCATTTGGCTCCCTTTCAGACACACAGTGCTGAAACTTCTGCCAAGTGTCACTGCATCATTAACTTTCAGTACAAGTTATCAGTCTATGAATGGAAGAACACAAATCACTTTCAGTGCACGTTCACAGAAGTGCTGCAGATTTAACAGAGTAAGAGAGTGTAATTTGCAAATCAAACATACAGGGACACCAAGGTAGTCTGGAATTTTTCACCAGACATCTAGGAAGTAAAATGCTTGATTGATTTCACTGAGGATTTTTAAGTATCAGAATTGTCGGGTGGAATTAAAAAGCAAGTGCCTTATCAAGCACTGTGTGGTAAGCTGTGTTGGCATTTCCATCTCTTCAGAGCAGCTGTTAGCATTTTCAAGGTCAGCCCAGGCATGGAAGATTCCTCTTTAAAGAATGCATGAAATGATAATTGGAATTTGCATCCTCTGATGAAACTCAGCATAGTTCTTAAACCAGTTATAAGTGAGAAGTAGTCTGCTTGCTGTGCATCCTGCTTTTCTCTCACCCGCTCTGGTTCAGGTGTGTCAGATGTTTTCTCCTACTGCCCTTCCCCTTCTTTGGAGGCCGGTTTATGACGAGCTGGTGGCCTCAGGCTAACTCATACTAAGCAGATGTCCACATCACAGACGTTGCTGCTGCACTTTTTGCTTATTTGCATCGTTTTTGGCAACTGTGCAAGAGAAGAAAAGGATTAAAATGGATTTGGAGGCCAAGAGACTGCCTCTCCACTTTAAGGGTGATTTCACTAGTGAGGCAGAGTTCTGATCATTAACATATTTCATTTTCTAAGGATGGTGATTTGGTACATTTCATGGATCCTAATTCATTTAAAATAAATAGAATGACTGTTTGATGGGTGGAGTTCATGCTCATCTGCAAAACATGTAGTGGATTAATTCTGTCGGTTCCGACAGGGCTTGGCTTTCATAAAAATAAAAATCTCCTTGTACAACTCCACATACTTTTTAATCTGATTTACCTTTATTTAGAAAAATACTTGATTTGAAGTAAAAAAACTTTACTTTGAAGTGTCTGGATTACTTCTGGGCCCTGTTGAAGGGCTTTTTCTGGAAATTTTTACCCAGAAAGTATGGGGTTTGTATTTTTCACCTTTCATCAGGCTTCTTACAAATTAAGCATCTGGTGGCATATTTTTGACTTTCCCCCTTTTACCAGCAAGGAAAACATTAAATGTCTCCCTCCTCCTGGTGCACTAAAAATTTGAAGTTTGTTTGCCTAAATTAGTTTGCAGTTTGTGCTGCATTAAATTTCTGATCCGTCTGAGTTTTAAAGAAGTGGTATTTCAGAGCTTCACTCTGCCAGACCCTCCTTGTCTGGATGAATTACTGGATCACACTGAAACTTAATACTGTCTCGTTTCCCATTTAATGATATCTTTGCAAATTGATGAGCATGTGTTTCCTGCTTATAAGATGCCGGCCAGTAATTGCTTGTGTCTTCTAAACATTGACCTGGCGTGAACTGTAATTTCCCTTCAAGTGGTCTAGTGAGTTGATCAGCAGCTCTTTATTGCCCTCTGCTGGGAGTCTGGGAATGTGCAACAAGAGTGTGTCGTGTGTATGTTATTACATGGCCTTACTCAGAGAAGTGTTTGGCTCGAGGTCTGCTTGGTACGCTGGGGTGTGTGTGTGTTTCCATCCTGCATGGCTGCAGGACGGCCACCACACAATGGGACAGTGGCATGTCGCGGGGCCGACCCGCAGCAAAGGCACTGCAGTGATGCTTTGCACATGGAGCCTCCAGCAGAGCCCTGGATGCCGGCAGAAGTCATTTCACTGCCTTGCTGCAGTGTGGTTAAATGGCAGTTCCCACAGGAAGGCTTCAGAGAATAGCACAAGGTTTGGTAATCTCTGTTAGCTGCATTTATGCAGACAGAAAAAAGGCAGTGAAGCAGGGTGATGTTGTCTCATCAGAGATCCCACAATGAACTGTTGGCACTGAGTTGGAATCCATGCTGGAAAACTGGTTCAGTGAACACAAAGACCAAGAACAAAATATTTATTTGCTATTTTAGTGGGTTGTTTGTAAAGCCTATGTTCTAGATTTGACTAAGTCTCTCCAGCTAGCTTTTGAGGAAGGGAACATACACTGGTGAGAAAGCACACAGAAGGGATTTGGGAGAAAGAAGCTGTAGTCTCCAGTCACTTATGGTTGCACTTCATAGGGTCCGGACAAACTTTCTCCACCTTGTCTTTAAATCTCTACTACTGTCTTCCACATGGTGGTTTCTGAAGATGTAACGAGCACATATTTATGAAGACTGTCAGATAAAAACCATATAGGTTGAAAATTGATGTACAGCTAAACAAGTGCAGCATCCCAGTTCTGCAGTTTCTAAGGCAGCAAAATTACTGTTTTGCAAATGCAAGTGGGGAAACTATGTGAATAATTTTTTTTCTGAGGAATCCTTGGACTCCTTTGCCTTAACCATTGGTTTCTGGCAGTATATGTTTTTCTATGCTGGTCACAAAAGGAACATTTCAGAAGGAAGCTCAGTAACTGTGGTCAGATCAGTGGGTTCAGTTTTCATTTCCAACTTGCTGTGTTGGGGAGAAAAGGGAAGAGAAAACAGCTCATGATATATTGTTTGGAAACTGTAATTTACTGTAACCAGACAGCTCCCCTGAAATGTGAGAAGTCTGCATCAATAAGCCCATTTCTCTTTTTTGTCCTAGGCTCTCCATTCATAAATCAAGTTCAGAAGAAGGCTCTGTAGGTCAGTATATTTCATTTTATTTGATACTCCTATGGAATTCTTAAACAGCTTTTGAGTTTTGCCTGTTCTAGGATGTGAAGAGCTGGCAGAAGTCAGCAGCATTTGTGTGTGTGGAGGGCGAGTCTCAGCAGCTTTCAGTTTGATGCCGAGTGTCTCAGTGATCACTAAAACTGCCCAGTCAGCAATGTCATGTGATAAATATGCATCTTTTGACTTGCTATATTGAATTGAAAGTGTTTGTATGTTAGATCACTGTTAGCCTGTCCTTTTGTATTCCATGAGTTACCACCACCAGTAAATAATGGGGATTCGTGGTTATTTTTGCTCATGTCATGCCAGAGGTTTTTTGTTTATGAAATTTTTGTTGCTTATTGGAAAAGAAAAATAAAACTAGGAGGTTTTTCTTGTTTGTTTCCTTTTAATGGTATTCCAGGGACTGTCCACACAGTCTAAACTTAAGCAGTATTTCAGAGAGTTAGGAAGTTCAGCTCTAGGTCATCCAGGGCAAGTTCTTAAATACGATAATAACTAATAGCTCTTTGTCAGTAGCATTTCTGCCAGATCAGGCACAGTATGTTAATTTGTAGGTGGCATAAACTTTATAGCATGTGCCCTGGTTAATTCAACAGAACACAGATATATATGCCCTACCTTGAGCTAGGTCCCATTTTTCTTTCCAGAGCAAATGATTTACTCTGAGATCATCAATCCACATAGAGATCTGGTTCTTGTGGATGTGGAGACTCAGCCTTGTGCAGTCCAGGCATATAAGAGAGTCAGAGTCAGGTGTAGCTGATGATCTCATGCCAAGTAACAGAACATGTGTGTGTGCATGTGTGTATTATTTCATTTCTTGATCAATTTACACAGATATACTAGAAAATCATTTATCTGAGTTGCAAAATTGTGATTCAGTTAAAGAGAATAAACCAACAAAACACTTCAAAAACACTTCCAGACTTGACATTAACAACTCGACAGACATCAAAATTAATGTAAAATGGTTTTTTTTAATAATTCAAAATATGTAAGTTACTGGCATATCTGAATCCTCTATAGCACAGGCAATTATAAAAGAATGTGCATCACCCTGAAATAGCTGCATCAACATAGTTCTAGTACAGAATAAATCAAGAAAACCAGAAAATCTGAGGTTTTTTTATTCTTATTTCTGATTTAAAAATATAATGTAATACTTAAAAGCTTCTCTACAATTTACTAATTAATGTTTCTTTCTAAAATTCTTTTTCCCTTTCCCCTCATCCTCCTGCTCCACTTTCCTTTTAGGGAAAACAGACTGGAAAAAGAAAAATAAGTTTTTTTGGCAGAATTTCCGAAAGAACCAGAAGGGACTAATGAGGCAGACTTCAAAAGGTAAAGCTTTTTCAATAATGCACATCCTATCCATATAAAATGTAAGGAGTCAGCATCACAAAGGAATAAAATGCATTTGTAATAGAATGGCAGCTGGGGTCTGTAGCTCTGGAAGTGTCATGCGTTTGATTCATAATGACAGTGCTTAGAATGACAAGTCAGATTCTTGAGACTGCAGACATGAAGCTGGGATGCCTTCCTCGGCAGTTAATATAAGTAATATATGTAACTAAACATGATGCATTTTTTTTCCCTAGTCCTGACTTGGTAAGAGAAATAACTGTATTGTTTAAATTAGAAGGATATTTCTCCTTTCTTTGGCATTTTGTTAATTTGACCTGTTTACTTTAGGCTTGAATCCAGCCTCTCATTGTAGAAGACACTACAAGAAGGAGTAGTAAAAGTATCTCTGATGACCAGTGCAAATGTAGAATTGATTCCACTTAAACTGTCAGGTGTCTTTCTCTACTTATTCTGCAAAAGATGCAGCTGTGGATTGCATTAAGTATTTCTCTTCACACAGAAAATTTCTGTTTCCCCATGTGTATCTGTTAGCTTCTTATGTTGCAAACAGATGTTTCTCTATGTCTATCTGTGTTCAGATGGACTCTGAAAGACAACAAAAGCCCATTTAATAGGTCCAAAAGGGACACACTTCCAGTTAAGTGTGGGTCCTTGCTGGTTCTCCAGGCAAATTCTAATTGCCTGTGCTGACATGCCAAACACCTACCAGAAGGAGAGGTAGTTGAGAGTGCAATACATCTGGCACCGTGTGCCAGCTTAGTGGGTGATTAGTTTGTCTGGATAGATCACAAGCAAGTGACTAGTCCACAGCAGAGAGCTGCAAGGGCCCATCACACCATTCCTTAACAAGCAGGTTCTGGCAGCTGATACCAGTATTCCTCTGGGCTGAGTGCTGGACTTCTCTAGCATTAGCACTTCCTCTTTTAATTCTTTTTTCTCAGGGTCAATAACCATGTGATGATAGTCAGTTTTTATTTCTCCTTTTTGTGCGTGCTTGCTTGCTTGCTTTCAGTGTCAAAGTAGACTTAGTTTTTTAGTTCTAAATTGCTTCCTTTTACTGCTCAGTCACTTTGAAATCATTCCGTTTTTTGAAATCATACCATGAACCTGCTATGGACTCTGGCCAGCCAGATCCACGTGGCAGCCAGATTTCAGAGCACTGGGTAAAATCCAGTTTCAATGTACCCTGCCCTGTGCATGAATTCTTTTATGTGCTTAAAATATTTGTGCATTTTTTGTGCAGGAGAGGATGTCGGTTATGTGGCCAGTGAGATCACAATGAGTGATGAAGAACGGATCCAGCTGATGATGATGGTGAAAGAGAAGATGATCACCATTGAGGAAGCACTTGCTAGGGTATGATATGTGCATGCTTCAATCTCCTTGACAAAGATGTTTTAGAATGTAGGATGTATCAAGTGGAGTTTGACTTCATTCACAAAATATGGAAGAAGGTGGAGAAAGCCTGCCTGTTTCCAGCATTGCTATAGGTAGCATAAATTAGATTGCAATTCCTTTATTTATTGAGAAAAGTGAAATTTAGCTCAACCAGAAATAGATTTGCAGTATGTGATAAATTAATAGAGTCCTAAAAGCTTTGCTTTTCTCCATTAACAATAAAAGGTACTAATCAGAGAAGAGATTAAGTGTAGAATTTTTCATTGCAGTTGTCTAAAGTGAGGGAGAAGAATCTCTCTGACTTGTACTAGCTCTTATTTATTATGTTCATAGGTTTGTTTAAGTACTAGTAGAAATGCTTCAGGTTTTGCTGAGCTTGCCGTACTCAATTCAAAACACATATATTTCTTGCTATTTTCCTTTAAGCTAAATTTTTTTCTGCTTTTTTCTTAGCCAAAAAGGTGATATTTTACTTAAATAACAATCAAAGAAAACATGTTCAGCTATTTTTGGCATATGACATTATGTCAGATGTACAACACAGATTTTTTTTTAAATAAATGAGGTGGCTGTCATAAGGGTTTCTTTGCAAACTCTAAATGTAAATAAACCACAAGAAAAATAACTGTAAGGTATTGCATTTGTGCAGCAAAAGGGCCGAGGTTTTAATTTGCTCAGGAGCCAAAAGAGGGTTTCAACTCAATCTTTGTGTAAAATACTAAGTGTTGGAACACAGGATGTTCTGTATGGGCTCCATTAGAAAAAAACATCATTTAAATCAGTTAGCAGTCAGATCTTTACTGGCATATTACATCGTGAAATAGATTATTGTAGAATATAAAATTATTTTATTGTCTGAAGAAAATATTTCTTTGCTGGAAATCATATCATGAAAAAAATGCAAGATTTAAAAATTACTGTGTTGGAATATTGAGAATTCTTTTTCTTCTCTTCTGTTAAAGTTTTGTGGTGTGAAAGGGTTTTACCTAATCTAATAGTTCATATGTGGACTGGTAGAGCTTCCCTCTAGTGGTCTGAGCTACTAGCCTTGTATTTTCAAAATATCAGTTTTTGATCTTTACAACGCTTTGACTCCTGTAGTATTGGTTTTCTTGGAAAATGGGCAAAATTTTTTAATTATTATTATGAAGGATGGTTCTTAGTCTTTACTGCAGATAATTTTCTCTATGAAGGAAATTGGCAGGTCATTGTGATTTAGTCTGCCCACTGTAAACTCTGCCTCTGAGATGGGGATGTGTAATTTATGTTTTACCAACAGCAGGTCATCAAATTTCAGTATTTACAGATCATTTCCTTCTTAAAAAAAAAAAAAAACCAAAACAAAAAAACCAAACCAAGTCATTTTTAAAACTTCTGATTGTTGGACAACTTATTTTGAAAAAGTGAGGTGTGCATTGGAAAAGTTCCCATTTTTCCAGGTCCACAATGATACAGGGGGGGAAAAATGAAATTATATTAACTCTTGCTATTTTAATGAAGATTCATCTCTTCTTGTCACTGGAAAATGTTCTTTCTGTCTTTTCAAATTTCAGCTGAAAGAGTATGAAGCCCAGCACAGGCAATCAAGCACTGTAGATTCTACAGAATGGCCTGATGGTTCTTACTCGACACTTGATGGGTCTTCCAATTGTAATGTAAGTGCCTGTCATTGTGATATAGCTCCCCAGTGTTATTTAATATTTAAATTCTTTCATTGAACTACTGAAATATCCTGATTTACCTGTCAATTTCCTTAATAGCAAGTGTATCACTGACCTTGTGATGGTCTGTTCTGTCTGCAGAGAATCTTTAACTTGCATTCTAAATCTTCAAAATCTGTTGTCATCGACTTTAACAGTCTTATTGTATAATCTCTCTTTTTTCTTTTTTCTTTTTTTTTTTAAATCTTACCCCTTTGTCACTGAGCTTTTGAAACACAAGTTGTCCCAGGCAAAAATCCCCTTGTTTCAAAATGCACAGAAAAGGGCTTCTAGGTCATTTAGAGGGAAGTTGTTGATTCACCAGTAGAGTTTCTCAGGCTTTTCTATCCCTTGTTGATACATTCTAGATGAGGATCTGGCTAAGTCCTAGCTTCGTGCTGTCTTCAAACACTTCTGTCTCTGCATTTGCAAACTCACAGCCCAGAGTTTGTGGCTTGTCAGATCCATAAGGAGTAATGCAGCTTTCCTCCCTTTTTTTTTTTTGCTTCTGAGCTGTTTAACTTGTGTTGTTTTTATGCGCACCAGACAGGCTTTGTGTTATGTCATACTGAATTAATTAATTTTTCCTTCCAGATATCTTCATTTTCACTGAGTAGTTTATTCCACGTCAGTTCTCTAATTGCAAGTTCACAGATAAATCTTAGAGAAGAACACATTTGACTGTCAAATTCCAGCTCTTTGTAACCCATATAATTGAATCGTAGTCTTTTGAGACCATTGGTTGATTTATTTATTTTATTGTCAATGGAATTTCCTGCTAACTGCAGCAGCCAGTTAGCTCCTCCTTCCTAAAGGAAAAAAGGAATGCAATGTCATTGTATGAGATGTTTAACATATTTGGTAGCAGAGAAGGATTTTGTTGTTTGTGTTCAAAAAAGTATGCCCATCTTTAGTTATATTGGAGCAGAGGGGAGCTGATGTTGCCTTATACTCTGTTCTGATATGTCAAAAATGTGCAAAGAATAAAGAAGAAAGGATCCTGACTCTCCGGAACTGATTTTTTTTAGCTAGCTGAAAGATGTCTGATCTTTTCCTCATTAGTATTTATAGCTTGAACTTTTCCTTCTTTAAAGGCCTTTGTCCAGGGTACCTATAGCAAAAGCCCCTCAAAACTCTCATTCACCATGATCAAATCTCAGAAGGATACTGAATTTCTCTCTTAAATCTTATGATAGTGGTTTACACTTGTGTTGAATTACTGAAAGCTGTGTGTATCTCTTGAGCACTGAACATGATTCAGTATTTCTGCCCCAGTGGAATGACTTGGCACCTTTTCTCTAAAATTGTTTTCCTAAACTATCTTTGCACTTTGAGCCAAGAGCTTGGTTGCCTCTCTCTGTTGTTCTGGTAGGATTTGAACCAACTTTCTGCAAACATCAGTGGGGGATCTCTATTCAATCACTGTAGATAATTCTCAAGATTTTTGCCCTCGCTCCTGATTTTTGTCCCAGTTGCCTTTAGCAGAAGCTGTTAAACTGCTTGCCTTCAAGGAAAGAGGATCATCTGCAGAAATGAAAGTTCATGTTAGAACAAAACTCAGCTTGACTTTTTTTCGTGGACAAGAATGAAACTGAGGTTGACTAGGGTGAAAGATTTTAGGCTGTAATTGACAAAAGGGAAAAACAAACAATGAAAAGTATCAGATATGTTAGAATAAGGTATGTGTTCACTCAGACTTTTTTGCCAAAGGACCTCTCTACTAATCTGAAATGACAAGCTTTTGAGACATGCAAAGATGATTCTGTTTTCAAGTCCTTTCTTTCCCAAATGGTTTGAGTTTCAGTGTCATTTGTGTGATTTGTGCTCTGCATATTTGGAACCTCAACTTTAAATTACCCCACTCATTTTATACAGGCCATGAACTAAACATATCTGGTTTGAATTTGAAGTCCTTGGGCAATGGTTCTTCTGGTTCTGTTTGCTTTTTAAATTTATTTATTTATTTATTTATTTTTCAGCCTCACAGCCAAGTTGTTACTAGGCAGTTTTTAAAGAAACAATGTGATCATTTTGTAAACAAAACAAAACAAGTTAGAGTCTAAGCAATGAGAGAATCTAAAAATGGAGGCAGAATGTCTGGAGTGGTCTAAGGTTTTAAGTAATCCTTTCCTTTCAAGTCAGCTGTGTCCACAGAATACAAATAATATCTAAAGTGCATATTGTTTTGGGTTTTTATTGTTTTCCTTTTTAGGAAAAGACCACTTTTTAAAAAAAGCTTTTATAGCTTTCATGTCTTTATACATGATAAAATAACTGGTGTTGTTTTAAAGATTCTCATTTTAAAGATTGATTTGAGGATTCTGTTTTCCAGGTTATTCTCTTTTAAATTACTGTACCAGGAAATGGAAACTTGCATTTCATACCCTTAACAAAACTAAACCCTAAAGATGAATCACAAAGGAGTGCGGAGCAGAAAGGTCAGCATCCCAAGGGAGGCAGCCCCATGTCATTGTTGTGCTCTAAATTGCATGTCCTGTTTATTTGTTCTTAAGAAACAAATAAACAAACAAAAGCCTTGCCAAGCCGGTAGGTGACTTGGTTCTTTGCCACTTTAGAGCAATTTGTAGCTTTCAGTCTCACTACTGTGGTTCCCCTGTTTCACAACAAAATATGTGTGTTATTTGCTAATATGGGTATGCAGTTGAAACTGTTTTTCTTTTCAGTCACATGTATCAAAGCTCTAAAACGCCTCATGATTTTCTTACAAATTTGTTTCTGAACTTTTATGTTTTATCTCTGTAGCAATGAAAGCAGTTCACAGTAACACTAGATAGCTTTCATTGCTTTGTGCCAAGCATTGGGATGTAAAGCAGGTGCAGATTACAAATGGATCCTTTTCTGGATTATAGATAAGGCCCTATTTGTCCTCAGGAGTCAGAAAGTCCAGGGAAAGAGAGGACTTCAAAATTGTATCACATTCTTTCTTTACACTGAGGTGCCTTTTATGCTTCCTAAAGATAGAAGAGCATTTGATAACTTTTGGGGGCTGACATTCTCAGTTCATCTAAAATAGGGCTGCTTCATCCTCAGAGCCCTTGCTGCTATGGCTCCAGCCCAGCTTGGAGAACCAGCACAAGGAGAAGTCAGTACGTTCAGTGTGTCAGTCAGTTTCTTTCCTGTGCCCTCTGCTAAAGACCACTAATTGTACCACTTGCCAGTGGGGAAATGGAGAGCAAGCACCAGGGAGCTTGACAGAAGTGTGTATCGTATGTGTGCTGACACTGACACAAACCACTAATTAACTTCACTGACAGTTTCTGTAGATGCAAGTTGAATGAGGTTATAATTATCTCTGGACTAAAGTGGTTTCTTGGACTTATCTTCTGTATTTTGGTTTCAATCAGCAGGTGATGCTCACCCATCCAGCAAACTTTCATGTAGTGTAGCTGGCAAAGCTAGCTTCATTTGAAAGGTGCCACAGTGAGCTGTGCCATGCTTGTCTGACATCACCCCCCCTACCAGACGTGCCTTAGAACCCTCAAGAGAGAGGCCATAATATTTATGAATGGAGAGAACAAAAGCAGCATCTCCCTCCAGCAATGTGGCCCACACATGGGCAGTGGGGGGGGCCCGCAGTGCTCTTTTACATCCCTGCCCTCCCAACACTTGTTTTCCCAGGATCATCACATTACCACTAGGAAACTGGCACCCCTTTTGTTTTTTATGAGGAGAGTGGCAGCAGTGGTGCAGACCTGTAAATGTGCTAGGCACATCTGCATCTACCGTGAGGCTGATGCTGGGGACAATTCCCACTTGTGTTGCCTTTCTTTTCTGTCTTCTATAGATCCATTTTTTTTATCAGATGGCAGTCCATTCAGTCCACACAGCAATAGCTCTAGCTGGACTGAAATAATAATTTGTTACTCCTGTACTTACTATTTTTTTTTTTTAACAAGTGGTTAAATAGGGCTGAAAGTTGAAAGGCTGTGCAGAACTGGGTTTGTGTCTGCTACAGGCATCAAAGGCAGAGTAACAGATGAGAATGGATTTTGAGTTGTATCCATTTCATCCCAGAGATGCTGAATCTGACTGTGACAAAACACGAAGTCTGATATACTTATCTCTGACTCATGACAGTCATTACTGTTGTTTGGTAAGTGTGAAGAATAGGAAGAAAAGTAATGAAAGTGTAACTTCTGTAGCACCAATTGCCTCAAAAGTAAATCTAAGCATAATTACAGCAAATCCACATTATTCAGGGTTACACTGTATTTCAGTATTTGGATGCTTTCTAAATGCAGCTATTTTTTAATTTATTTTTATTCATAGTACTGATGGATTCTTAAAATTTGTAACCATTGGTTGACATTACTATTGCTCATAATATAGGACTGTTAGCATAAACAGGAAGAAGTCCTTCTTTTGGTATATAGTCAGTTTAATTTGTTAGATTTGCTAAATATAAATATAAATATGAATATAAATATAAGTATAAATATAAATTCATTAAATAAGCTCAGAGTCAACATATATTGGGAATCAGCATTGAATATCTATGGAGAGTAGGGTATGATGAGGTTTGTTTTACTTTAAACAGTAGTATTCAATTTGAAGCAATGTGAATATTTTGAAGTTAGCCCTGGTTTGCTGTTATCCCAGGACTCACCATTTTTGGTAAGGTTTCTTTTCCATGAAAGGCTGAAGGGTAGAAGAGGATGTTTCTGTGTTTTATTTCTTCTTGGAGAACTTGTTTCCACCTTCAGGCCCTGCATGCTGTTTCAAGTAACAGAGGGGAGCTGCTGCTGAGCGTGGCTATGAATGAATGCAGCACTTTCATCTTTGCTCCAAAGAATCTAGTGACCCAATTTCTGTTAAGATTTCTGAAAGGCACCAATGTGCCTCGTTGTATTGGATGATGTATTTATTATTACTACCCAAATTCCTCTAATACTGTCAGTGCTAAGTAACAGTTGTGATGAAAAAGAACCTTTAAT